ATTGCATGCTAAGTAGTTCTGTAAAGAGCTCCTGCAGCACTTACAGGGGGTTATATCAGATAAAATGACAGATTCCCGTCCCTATTAAGCACTGAATTTGGACAGCTTGTTATTTAGGTAGGTTGGAATAAATCCAAATAGCGTGTTTTTATCATCTTGTTTTTCAGACAGTGGGTTTTTTTTTTTAATTTTATTTTATTCTTTTGCCTCCAGCAGTTTTATTTCTGGGTCCAAAATAATATGAGTCATGGGCTTCTCTTGGTTTTGCTCTCATCCAGAAACTCTCCAACGCTCATTATTTCAGCTACCCAAATGGCTCCTGGAGTCATTAAAAAAAGCCTGTGAAAAGCAAACACACTGGCATTTCTAACCCCCATTACAGATAACTGAATCCCAAGGCCACCGAGAGCATGCCAAGAAGGGTAAATTGCCAGCCCTCGAGAAACATCTTCTAGTTGTTAAACTACACCGAGGCAGTGCAAAGCTTCAGAAAAGACAAAAAAAAAAAGTGCCTTCTAAATACCTTTGGAGGTAGCATGTTAAATATATTGATAGTTTTGATAGTAGCCAGGGTCCTTATTATATAACATAGCTTCTTCCAAGCTCTGTTTTGTATGTCTGATTGCATGGCTCCGAGTTACAGCGAGGGGCAACGCTTCGGTGAGGTCTGGGTCAAAATGACTGAATAACGATGAGCAATTGTACTAATCAGTTTAGCAAACAGGGGCTAAGTCTGTCTCTACTGGGAACGGCGCTGAACTGACTGTGTTAAAGAAATGGGAGGCCTGCTCATTATACAGAAAGGCTGGCATTTTGAAGAGAGCAAGTGCATGCTGAACCATAGCAATTAAATGCCAAGGAGCGGCTCCCCTCTTCACAATATGGGACGAGACACTCGGAGGCAGGAATCGGAGGCTCACTCGGAAGAATTGAAAAGTCATCAGCTGTTGCTCAGAAATGAGTCACGGACATCAGCAGGCAGCTCTGCCTCCCCTGTATTCCCAGGATATCTTTATTTCTGTCTCTGCCCCTATGTTTCCGCTGTCCCCCCATCCTCATTCAGCTGCTCTTAAAATCTTACCCCCTCCCTGATGTCCAGAACAAATGACTTATTAAGTGTTACAGCTGAAAAGCATACTACCCTCTCAATGATGGAGGGAGGCTGACTGTGTTTGGGCCTTCGATCCTCCAGTTTGGGACCTTATTTTGGGAGGATGATTTTTATTAGGGCACTGGATGGGGACTCTGTAGATCGGGGTTCAGACGCATCCTTGAGCAAGTCGCTTAAACTTGCATATGAATTTGCAATGGATTTGAATTGCGATGTTTTTGGGACATCTATTGTCTCTTACTCTGTGCATAGACAGCACCTAGCGCAAGGTGGATCTCTGACCTCATGTGGGATCTGTTGGTCATACTGGACGTCGTCAATGCTAATTGTCAATCACACATTGGACGTGCTAAGCAAAGAGAAAGCCCAATGCACAGATGATAGCGATAGCAGCAAAATGTTGCTTAGGACTAGACTGGTTTAAGAAAAGATTGCATGAGGTTGGCTGGGATGAAGCTGGACCCTCCCACTGAGGTCAGAATTTAGCCCAATATTCTTTAAGTGAAACCATGGAGGAAATTTCCATTTATTGATTGATTTTTTTTCCCCAAAGCATTGCAGGCAACTGTGAACCCAGGTCAAGAAGAACAGGGCATAACTAAATGTGGTAGGCTTCACCATCCAGGTTGGATTCAGAGCTTTGTAATAAATGCCAAATCCACACAGGCAGGGCACTGGGGTGGTGCAGGTATTAAGGTGCACAGTTGCTAGCCCAGAGGTTGCAAATTCACGGCTGTAGCAGAATACTCATGGCATGGCCTAACAAATTTGTGAAGACTGCTAAATACTTCGCCACAAGGACATGGAAAAGGAAACAAGGGCACAATTTATACAGGTGGATTTGGGGTAGAAAACTGCAGCGTGTGTGTGTAATTTTAAGCATGGGTATTTCTAACATGGGTGATGCATTAATTTCTTCCTCTGTCAGAGGCTCGGGAATAATACTAGATTATTGGTCCAAAATAAGAATATTAAAACTTACTTCTGCTGCGTTGATAACTTGACACCAGCCAAGATACTGTTGTCAGAGAGCGAGAACAAGGCTGTTACTTTTCTTCTAGGCACATGATAACAGAGCTTAAAATGATGCTAGATACAGGATGCAACCAGCTTTGTCTTTTCCTTGTCAGAATTAATCATAGTCTCCCGTTACAGGAAACGGAGTGCATCTGTCAGATCTTATAAGCATGCTGTTTTGTCAGTGCTGCAAAACAATGTCTTAAATTACTTATTTAACACAAAGTCCGCAAAGATGAAGGAAGATGTGTAAAGACGTGGGGTGGTGTAATTGGCTTTTGTTGTATAAAGTAATTGCCCAAGTTAGGGCTCCAACTCTGCTGCTGTCATTTCTAAATATTTCACTACACAAAGCTGAAAACCTACACCTAAATCACTGGCCGGCTTTGCTCACTGATACAGTCCATCCCCCCGTTTTTGACTTTGGTTTTGTGGAAGTACCAGCTTTCTGTATGTTGTTATATGGAGGAGGGGGAGATCGGCCGAAAAATGAAATAGTTACTCTAAGTTAGGGGTGGGCAAAATGCGGCCCACGGGCTGGATGCGGCCCACCAGGCCATTCTATCCAGCCTGCGGGGCCCCTAAAAATTTAGAAAATGAATATTTATCCGGCCCTGGCTGCCTGTCATGTGGCTCTCGATGGCTTGCCAAAACTGAGTAAGCGGCCCTCCACCCGAAATAATTGGCCACCCCTGCCTAAGTCTTTAAGCTTTTTTACATTTGGTTAACTTTTGATTTTCTTGTGTTTAGCTGAAAATTGTGTGGTTTAAGAAATTGCTAATAGGAGACAGGTTTCATTGCAAGGCCACTCATTCATAATGAATCTGACAGCTATTCCCACTAATGACTTCACAGGACAGGTTAGTTCAATCCTAATTGGACAGGTGACCACAACGGGCATCATACCAACTGTCATGGTAGTGTGAGATCAAGTCGTCTGAATTGCTAGGAACTATCCTTTTTCTCCCTGGAAGATAGTTTCGCTATGATGTAGTCTGGGTGCATTAGCTGGGCATTTACCTGCCCTCCTGGCTAAAAATATGGCACATCATGCTCCCTGCAAAATAACATTTTCCCATCATCCCATCTACATTCCCAATCCAAATCTCTGTTATTTCAGTGAAAGAATTCAAATTGACTTTGGTTCTCAGAGAAGGAAGAGAAATAGCCAGAGCCAGCAGAAATGTTTTGGTTGCAGCATTTTTTCACAGATGAATAATCTTTTTGGAGAATGACATTTTTAACAAAAAATTGTCAACCCTGTCAGCTTGTTATGTTTTACTGAAAACATTATGGAAATGGGATTTGAAATGATTCATTTTATTATATACATAAGTATAACTATTTTGATGGTGTTTTTAGTAAAAAAAAAAAAGAAATGTGTGTATGTATTAACAGAGATATGAAGAAACATATTTGAAAAATGATGTTGCATATTTTGAAAAGCGGAATGCCTGTCTGTTTTAAACATTTAAAAATGAAAACAGTTTTGAAATTTCAACTTGTTTTGCCAAAACTGGGTCTCTTGACCGGCTCTAGAAATAGGCGCTTCTTTGAATTTATCTTTAAATTTCCTGCTCATGATGTCACTTGAAAGCACGTGACAGGGGGCTCGTGCTAATGTATTTTTAAAAAATACGGTCCCCTCTGTGAATAACTATTGTCCATGTTTTGGATTTGAGAGAAAACCAGCTGTCGTGTCAGCCCATTCAAATCCCTTATGTCAAGTTTCATCAAGGCAGGTGGATTAAAATGTGGCCTGTTCCAACATTACAAAAGGCAAATAAATGCAATCTGCGTAACCCCTGCTTTCCTTTTATTGCAAGCAAAAATCAAAGGGAAGTTGGATAACAGAAGCTACTGAAACTGTTTCCTGTGCAGTGCATCTTGCTGCCCTGTTCATCCCGTGCAAACTCAACCACCAAATGAGTCCTCCAGTGCAGCCATGCCCATGGTGTATTCAATAACGTGTTTCTTTTTCTCCTTGTTTCTAGGGTACACCTGGCAAACCAGGACCAAGGGGGCAGCGAGGTCCAACGGTAACAATTCATTTTTCCTACTGATCCTTTCCACGGAACCATGTTTTTTCTGTTTATAAATTAAGAAGAAGAATTTCCAAGGCACGAGGGACATGTATGCACCCTCATTTCTGTTGGAAATCTTTGCATCCCAATCTTTTATTGGAAATCTTTTGGCATCTGTTTGTCTGAAAATCTCCCCGAAGTGGGAAACCAAAAACCTTAGCTCCCAGCACCTGCAAACTGCAAGGTGGTTTCAAATCTGGATCTGTATTTTGGAAGCTCCCCCTGGTTTTGTAGTGTTCTAGCTAAAGCCAAACACTCGGGTCTTGGGAGCTTTGAAAGCTGGATCTGAATCTTGTGTTTGTAGCTGTCTCTAGCTACAAGTGTAAATCCATATGCCGTGGCCATCTTCTCTGGCAATGAAAATTAGCATGGTTCCTTTGAACATAGTGGATAAAATCACAGCCTCTGGGAAGTCAAGGGGAATTTTGCCATATAATTCAGGGGAACCAGGATTTCCTGCAGCATCCTCAGGGGATGTTTGCTTGCTCACTTTTGAATTCACTCCCTGATTTTTCTAGGTTTGTCTGAAAGAGATAAACCAGAGCTGACATAGTTTTTTTAGCCTCAAACTTCTCGTTTCCCTTCTCTCTCCCTTCCCTGCTTCGTCTCCTGTGAACCTCGGTAGCTCAGAAAAAAACGATAGCCAGCTCCAAACCACCCTTGTCTTTGTAAAACACAAGCCTGGGCTACCAAGGTTTGGTAACCCCCAATCCAACCCCCTTGGATCCGTCTGATAAAGGAGATGAACATAGTCCAGCACACTGCGCAGACAGATAATGTCACCGAATGAGCAGGACAACTCACACAAGTAAGGCGAGTGAGATTTGTCTCTGTCTCACCTTGGGTGGTTTAAATAAAATTGAATGTAAGCCCCAAATTTTTGGAGTGAGGGTTTGCCAAGAAAGTTGACCATCGGTTTACCACAACCCAACCAAAATGCTTTAACTCACGAGCTGCCCCATTGTCTTCCGTTCAGCTGCTTATTGACAAGGTTTCCTTCCTTTCTGTCGTCTTTAGGGTCCACGTGGTGAAAGAGGTCCAAGGGGCAGCACCGGGAAACCTGGCCCTAAGGTACGGTTCAGGAGCCATTGAGTGCAATTAAAAACATGGTGTATTAAGAAATCGCTGTAGGCAAAGTGCCTGGTTCAATGTTCTGTTTTCTTTCTTTCCTCCTGGGAAACGGTGCCATTTGGGAAGATAGGGCACAGACCAAGACCCAGGCATGGGCAAGCCCCGCACAGAAAGGGGGCCTGAAAATGGGAAAAAAAAAATGTAATAGTGCGCATATACAGGACTGGCAGTGTTATCAGTTGAAAATGAACTATTTAAAGACATCATTACCGCAACAAAAAAATCATTATCTCTGGCGAACAGGGGCCTGAAACTCAAAGTTTGCCTGGGGCCACCAGGCGTCTAGGTACGGCACTGCTAGGGTACTTAATGATTGTGGCTGAAATAAATGCCTCCCAGTGAGAAGGTGTGAGCCAGGGATCTTTGGCTCTGTACCTGGCTGCCAACTATGTGACCATGAATACATTGCTATGCTATGCCCGTTTCGTCATCTGTAAAGTGGGGATGAGGATAGCACTCCTATTTCACCAGGTTAAACAGAGATTTTAATTAATTGAGCTTAGACAATTTCCAGAGCTTCTGAGGAAAGGCTTCACAAAAGCATTAAATAATATTGTTGCAACCTTTTTGGGGTGGGGGGGAATAACAAGTGGAATTTGTTAGCTGTTTAAGTTGCTAGATCTTCACCTGAAAGTAGAGAAAAGCACCAACGACTTCACTTTGCCATCTTTAGGTAGCATAACACATACTGGCAGTGAAATCAGGACTGAGATCTTTTGCCAGATGCCTCAAGTTCATCCAGCTAAAGATCACCAATGCACAACTGTAAAATGGGTGTAACAGTAGCGTTGTGAAAATGCTGCTAACTCCTGTTGCAGTGGAGGATGAGTGGCTGCCTTGCCTGCAGGAACTCAATTCCATCATATGCCGGTTCCCAGCCGCGGTGGGTTTCCATGGGCAGGCTAAGGCCTACTTAGTATTGAAGTCCCATTGAAGTCCGCCTTTAGGCCATGTGCTGGGCCCTCAACAAAAGAGCAGATTTCACCCCGCTGCATCCAGAAGCGGATTCGGATTCTCCCGGCTGTATAATGCTTCAAGCCAACTCTGCTTTCTGCAGAGACTGATGGGCTCTGGTTGGCTGGCGATCACAATAGGCATTGTTTTGTAAGCCAACCGGGACTCGGCGGGTCAATTGCAGCTCGGCAAACCGTGAAGCTGTGCCAGAATCTGCTGGATAAACTGATTAGGTGAACATCAGTCGCTTGGCATAATGGAAGGAAAGCTTTTATAATGAAACATTGTCACAGAAGCACTGGCTGATTTTTAAAAATAAATGGCTCGGCTTTGTGTCAGCATGAATTTTTGATAAATACCTCGCCTTTGTTGGCGCATTTATCTCACAGAAGGAGGTTATTATCTCGTAGAAATTCAAATCCCATTGATGTTATCTTTCCTGTATTTGTATAGAGAATGGTCTGGGTTCGGGCAAAGGTAGAGGAAGCAGTCTGGTGCTCGTTTGTCCCTGGACATTGTCTCCTAAACAGCATTATTAATAAAGGGATGAGGGGAGGGAACCGGTGATGGAAGCCATGTGATATCACCTTTTCATCCGTGCTATTCAGGATGTTTGTACAAAGTGGCCAAAATGATTTTTTTTTTTTTTAATGCCATGCTTTCTCTCTTCTTAAAAGGGCAACTCTGGTGGTGATGGTCCCCCTGGTCCACCTGGCGAAAGGGTAAGATAATGTAGATACGGCTACAATCAGAATGGCTCTTCAATTAGCAGACAAAAAGCAGCAGTATTTGTGGTCTAGGTTTCTACCAGGATCTCTAAGGAGCAGATACCTTTCTTAAATTGAGAATTTTTTTTACGTGTGCCATCCCTGGGATGATGTAGTTGGGACTGGTCCTGCTTTAAGCAGGGGGTTGGATTAGATGTGACTTCTTGAGGTCCCTTCCAACCCTCATTTTCTATGTTTTCTATCCAAAAAACCCCAAACAAATACTGGCAATGAGTGAGGACTAAAATTAACTCCCATGCCCAGAGCCAATAAAAGGCCTAGACACCATTTAAGTCTTGTTCAAACCATCAAAACAGGGCTTTGCATGGAGTTAAGCAGTGTACACACTGTGTGTGTTTGGGGTGAACATTACCCATGCATGGGCAAAAGAGAAATGGCCGTCCGTATTCCTCTGTCAGGCAATCCTAGTCATGGAGGAAACAATCCTCTAGCATCCTTTTGTCCCAATTGCATGTTCTTTGTGAACAGTCAGAATAAGAGAAGAATCTTGTTTTTCCCTTTTTTTTCTAGAAGTTTCTGAATGGATTTTTTCTGCAGTTAAGCAAACTGCTTCTGAATTCGTTACTTGCATGCCCCCAGATTTCATAGTGGGAATGGACTTGTTAATGACAAGGAAGTAGGTACGAGACCACATAAAACTTGTCAACACATGGAGTTGCTAGGGCTTAGTGCTGCTTCTTTCTCTAGGCATCCCTTTACATGATAAGTATATGCAAATAATGTTACCAATGCTTCTTTGGTTTATCTGTTAACATATGTATTGCTTAATTAATTAGATGTATTATTACATTGTATATACACTGACTTTCCATGCATATTAAGTTTGCAGCTGTAGAAGGTGGTGTCTTCTAATACATTGTTTTCTGCTTGTGTCGCATCCTAGGGACCACCAGGACCTCAAGGACCAACTGGATTCCCTGGACCAAAAGGCCCCCCTGTAAGTTAAGAGTTGCAGGTCCAGAACATGGGGGAAGAAATACAGAAGGCATTTTTTTCCATCAGCTGCCATCACATGCAGCATCTCAGAGTTATCTTTTTCACTGACAAGTGATCATGTACCCAATGAAGGGCATTTGAGAGATGCCCGTAATGGTAATACAATGATTTGGGATTTTAAATAAGCAGGCATGCTGGTGCTGGAAATGCACAATCCATTCTGAAGTGGCTTCAGACCCTTTGGCCCTCTCCTTTGGGGGAACAGTGTAATGCCAGATCACTGTACAGAAGCAATGTGCTAGATGGGTGTCCTCAGAAGCCTCTTTCAGAAGTGATTTTTTGTCCCTGATGACAGTGCGATCCCTCTCTCTCCATCCCTTGAGCAGCGTTACAGAGAGGCTTCAGGGCTTTTAGGGCCCATTAAATCCCACTGAAGTGAATGGGAGTTCAGTGTACTCAGCATCTTTCCAGGACTGGGCCCAAATGCCTGATGAGGTTGATTTTTAGGTATGAGAGCTTTGGTACCACTGTGCACATGCCAATCAGCACTTTAATAGTTAACAGGATGCTATTGGAAATCTGTTCATCCTTCTTCTGATTTCTTCTTTAGGGTCCACCTGGGAAGGATGGATTGCCTGGTCACCCCGGACAGAGAGGTGAAACTGTAAGTAGCCAAAAACCTTGGGTAGATCATTAGTCCTGAGTCTTGTCTCGCTGGTCGGTTCTTCTAAACCCTGCTGTGTAGCTGAGGAGATGTTGCCACATTTGTCTTTCTTCAGCGGTTTGTGTTTCTTCAGCTCCATGGAAAGGTCTACGGGAATCAACCCACTTGTGAGCGGGACAGATCAGTCTAATGATGATTTCCAGGAAAGCCACAACTCCCACGGCTCTCTGTTTCCTTCTCCATCTGTTCAGTAGACTAGACTGGTCTTGGTGGGCTGCCTACAGTAGATCCAACAGCAAAGAGAGATGGGGGGAGGTTGGGGTGGAGGGAGCTGATCACTCAGGTCTTAAATTCACCTAACTTGTTTTTAGGACTACGGGAAATTGGGATCATTAAGAGCTATGGGGTCAGATAAGTGGGTATTGACTTCTGCTCAGGGTATCTTAACCTTGACTCCAGAGCAGTGAACAAGGTCAACTCTGTATCAGTTGAGTAACATCAGCCGCTGATGTAATGTGGGCATTTTGGGGGGGTTTTGTGGAAAAATGGAGTTGAACTTCCAAAGTCATAGACTCCATAACTCAAGGGACCTGTATTAGCCTTTGTCCCTTTAGAGGGGTATGGTATTATGTTTCTTTGGGGTCAGCTCTTTGAAGGGCCTGTATAGGTGAGATTCATTCTTTCTCTTTGATTACTTTTGGAATGGCATAACCCACGGTGGTTAGTTCCCTGGTCAGAGTTCCCTCAATACCTGTGCCTATTTGTGAATGTTAAGTATAAACATCGGTGATTTCCTACTGAATATATATCACGTGACTGGCTAAGGAACTTCCACGCAGCAGTAAAGCGCATGCCCTAGCTACCGGAAGGCTAGTAGCAGCTAGTACTTTTAGAGATGTGATTTCAACCTAGGTTTTCTGTATGTGCCCATGTATGCGACATGCTTGCAAACTGCTACCTGCGTTAGTCCAGCAGTACGAATGGTGCCTGCACTGATGCTGCCTTTTAATCTCAAGCTACTGGAGCAGGCCTTGCAAAGTCCTACCAACACATTCTGCCAAATGTGGCTGCAAATTTGGTAGCTTCTGGCTGCTTAGTTACCCTGTTGTATATTTTCTCTCTATGTTTGCATATCGCTTTGTCAGTTTTAAAGGATTTTATTGCACAGATGTAATCATTGTTTCTCACCAAAGGAGAATGATGAGGCATGCAGAAGGTATGACAATATGGCTGTCTTCTGTCTCTGGTGATGTGTGTTTGTTGTCTCCAAGATATTTTGCTTAAAGGGTATTCCACAGCAAAAATGTACATTCTTCCCATGTATATTTTTGCATGCTGTAATTAGTAACTTTCTGGTTTTGCTTTTTTATTTTGGGTGCTTTTCCCCCCAGCTGATTAAGATCCAGCTCATTTGCTATAATTATTATGCTTTCATCATACTGCATGCTGCATGTTAGCAGACTGTTGGTTGTTCCTTCAGTATTTCACTTACAGGAGAAATGAAACCCTTCTCTAGTGAGCTTTGCACTTTTTCTCCACTACTGTCCCTGGCAGATAAGCATTAAAAAGTTTTTGCATATTATGCATTTTCCCTTGATTTATCACCAAAAAGAATAATTAACTTGCCTGGCATTTGCTAAGCAAAGCAATGCAAACAGTGTTCAATGCAGTGCCATATATTTGCTTAGGCTCCATAAGACTTGCTTTACAATGACACCATATTTTAGAGTACGAAAGCTACATTCTTAGATCAGGATTAAGGTAAAGGTGAATTGAAAGGTTTTGACCTGCCAGTGTCTGAATGTGGCATTTAGTTTCCTCCTTGGAATGATCAGTGATGCCAGGGACACCTAAATTCAAAATTAAAGGCTGAAATTTTTGCTTTGCTTTCTTCTGGGGTTGTCAGCTGCTGCAGATAAAGTGCAGAACCAAACTCTAAGTCTGGCGCGGTAATAGAGTAAGAATTGACTTTCAACTATTCTGTTCTAAAAAGGATTTTGCAATAATTTTCTTCATTTATTTCATTAATGATTTGCCTGTTAGGCAATTACTTTCAGGAAAGCATTTCAATCCACCTTTGATTAGAACAAACCCTTGAGGATAAATATTCGCTGTGAACACCACTATCCACACACACACACACACACACACACACACACACACACACACACACACACAC